CTTCTGAAATGGCTAGAAATGGATCTAAAACTGCCAAAAGTGAAGTTAATTTTTAATTCTTATAAAACAATGAGTAACAAACTGGCCTTCACGTTTGACCAAATTTAAATGAATAGACTAACTTCTAAGTAACAAAAAAAAAAGGGATTTAATCAGCCAAAAAAGTGGGGGGGCTAAAGCCCCCCCAGCCCCACCCCCTGCGCGGTCTTCTCATCACCCGTTTGCTGGATATTGTATAGATGTCATAGGGAGAAGTTGCATGTCAATCACTTCTGGGTAAAGGTAGAACCAATACACAATGAAAAAATTGCTCAAAGGAGATGCTTATTTCTAAGCTACTGGACATTAACACTTCTGTCCGCGGGAGGCTGTTAAAGAGGGATTTTACAACTGATTGTTAAAAGGACAAGAAGTTGGACGTTATCTTTTCCTGATTTTTAATTGTTAACTTGTATGCCTTTTATTCAGTTGTCGTGTCTCATGAACTGTTATGATTTATTTTCGGTGACACAGGGGCAAACATCTTGGTGGATTCAACAGGCAAGAATATAAGAATAGCAGACTTTGGTGCTGCGGCGAGATTAGCAACACAGTTAACAGGCGCTGGCGAATTTCAAGGCCAGTTGCTTGGAACGGTTGCATTTATGGCTCCTGAGGTATGTGTGTTCGGCAAACATGATTGAAGTTGTTCAGCTTTGATGTCAGGGAATGAATGTTTTTTTTCGGTTTATCAGTTGGGTTGATAATGTAAATTGGCCACCGTAAAGAGTATCTTAAACTGACGTTTCGAGCGTTCACCCTTCGTCGGAGCGACGAACTTGTGGGACCTTGGGTATAGCAAGTTCCAGGGTGAGCTCTTACTTTCCAGCTACTCTCAGCGCCTCAGAAAAAACTTTGCTTTAGTTTCCGATTTTCCCAAAGAAAGATCGTAATTCTGAATGATTTTCCAAAGGTAGTTAGTGATTAATTGTTGACTTCTTCAAGGTCCTCCGTGGAGAGAGCTATGGACGAAGCTGTGATGTGTGGAGTGTAGGATGTGTCATTATAGAAATGGTCACTGGAAAACCACCATGGAACGCCCATGAACATTCCAACCACTTGGCACTTATCTTCAAGGTAGGATGGCGTCATACTACACCATTTGCTTATGCAGTACTATTCTCGTGTACGTTAACCGAAAA